AGCATTCTCTCCGTATAGCAGACTCAATAAAAGCCAAATTAACATTAATCTGTGATTCTTCCCCTGGGAGACGTGCGGAAGCAATTAATGTCCGCAGTTTTGAGGGAGGGATCTTAAAATTTACTGGGTTAAAATTATAGGTAGAATACTAGTTATTTAGAAGCCTTTGCCCCCCCCCCCCCAACCACCCCCCCCCCCCCCCCCCCCCCCCCCAAATTAATTGACATCGGGTAGTTGTGGAAGTACCGCGTCGAAATATAGATAAAAGAGTACCAAATTTCCGGAAGTTTACATCATTTCCTGGTTGAACAAGATGGAGACGAGTACTGAATGGGTAGACGTTACCCGATTGGCTATGTATATATTTTCTTTTTAAAGTGAATATTTTCTTTTGATTGTTTTTTTCTTATTTTCTTCAGTCCAATTTTTTTTTTTAATTTTGGTACCAGTGCCTCTGGCATTTTACGTATTTTGTAAATAAAGATTTTTGACAGTAACTTTTTAGGGTATGTGTACTACTTCCTGGGGTAGAAGTTTATTTTTTCTTTAACTAAAAAAAGCTTAAAACCTAGGATCCACCCCCAGAAGTTTGCTGCCGTAAATTGTCTTGCTGGCGTTTTGGGAATATGGGTGATTTGCATCAATTACACTTTTATTGACTCCATCGCTGTCGAAATCGGACGAGATTTCTTGGCATGAAATATTGTCTCTTGTAGGTTGAAGGAAGCAGTAATACAACCTAACTTTTGTTGGAATCCTTGTTGTTGGATATTAGGAAAATGGATATTCGACAGATGAAATGTTTTTATTCTTGTTAACAGCAGTTTTTCAAATAATTTAAAAATACAAGGAAGCAAGGCAAGTAGAACCATGTCAACGTCGTAGAGCCTGTGATCATAAAGTGGCAATGCGTTCTATACAAGGGGAAAAAAGAAAATATGTGGGTGTTTTGGGGTATACAAAATATCTGGCATGTAAATGAGGTTTTCCGCTTATTTGTTGAAAAAAATATACTTCATTTTGTTGTTTTAAATCGCGATTCTACGAAAACATCGGTATCCGATTTTGGTTTTAACATTTATAATAGAGTACTATTTACCGCTTTTTGGCAGGTGAAACATCTGGTTCGGTAATAAATACAGAAATTTGTAAAAGTTTTTACGTACTAATGAATTCATTTAAACCTAGAAAATGTGCCTGAAAAGTTTGAATAGTTTCTGTGCACCTTGAAAAGAGAAATCGCCAAAAAATCAAAATCCGGGACCGTCGGGAGTCGGGAAGACTAGATATACCGCTTGCCAATTATTATTGACGAGATGTTCCGAGTATGGAGAACCAGTTTAGACTGGTACCCTGACATTGGTTAACGGGCGCAAGAGCCCTAAAAAACCAACGACAGGTAACCACTGCCATTTTATCGCGTCACAGGAAACAGCACTGATGAAAAAATCTATATTTAGACTAGCGTAAATCCAGAAGTGCTGAAGTAAATTATAAACCCTTCTCTCTGCACTCTACACGGCTGTTAACAAAGAAAGTAGACGGATTTTAAGCATCTATAAAACCATAAAGAAGTGCTGCCTCAAAAACCATTAAATGTAAAGCGATATCACAGGTCCCATATGCATATCCTACCAAAATAATTCAAATCAAGATCTATTGCATGATTAATTTACCTACATATTTACCACTGATATGATAATTAAATCATCGATTTAGTTATAACACTTGTTCTTTATCATTATTTATGTTCTAAAGTTTACGGGGAATGCTATAACTCGTCTCTCTAACTCCATGTGTTATGGTATGTACCAGGGAGGATTACAATGTTTAACACTAAGGAACATTTGAAAGTTCATTGTGACAATATATTGTAAGTTAATGATATACACAGTTAATAAAGTCCTTACTCACGCATTCTCAATTTATAGTCACAAATCGATCTTGGGAAAAGTCAAAAAAATTAGTGAACTGGAATTAACACTTTTATACGTCATTTGAAACATGAAAGTGTATAGTTATTAAAAATTGCAATTTGATTTACTTACTTCATGCATTGTTTTGTTGGCCTCCTTCGAAATAAAAGCGTATGGAGGGCTAATTTTACACCAAGATATTTACGTGATGTTGAAAAGCCATATTTGGAAACGAAAGACTTTTTTTAAAATGCAAAATTAATATAATACAAATCAAATTTTGTTAACCAAAACATTTATGAAACGTTTAAGCACATTTGTAAAAGGGGTGTACAATCTTTGATTCAATTATTAGTAAAAATAAAACGGACATAATTTTCACTTAAATAAAATTATTTTCTTTTTATTTTAACAAGTTTTAGCACATTCGATGATAAGCTTAATAATGATAATATTCCTTAAAATGCTACATTAATTGATTCTTTATCAATCTGCTCTGAGAAACGCACATTATTTAGAATATAAAAAGGTTGAATATTTCGCCATTACCTGATTACGAAGTGTTTGTTAAATATCACGTAAATATCGCACATAGATATCATACAAAAATAAAAGTATATTCGGGGGAAAAATGATTATATTATTTCAAATTATTGAATTTTATGAATTTTCTAATCTGTGTTCTTACAAAGGGTTGAATTGAAAATTCAAGTTATAAATGATTTATCTATAGAGGACTCATGTAATTCATAACACCCCCCCCCCCCTTCCACCATTTAATCAGTTGATTATTTCAAATGCAGTCATTCACATAGCATCGTTTTTGAAAGTGTTATGTGTGTGTGTGGGGGGGGGGGGGGGGGGTAGCCAGAGAATTTTTTTTTACTTACCTGGACAGTTGACAAGGCAAAAAAAAGGGGGGCGGGATGAGAAAACTTGCTCAAAGTCGAAAATCCTAGAGGGGGCCGGGAGGCGAACTTTTTTCAATGCCAACTACATTCAGTACCAATTATTAACAATATATTTTCCCTACATCACTATTAGTGGGGGTGGGGGCAACCAGCCTTTCACTGAACATTTACTGAAGTCGAAGTAAGGCTGAAGAAAAAAAGGGGGGCAGGGTGGGACTGCTCCCCCCCCCCCCCTTGTTGCTACGTACCAGAAATGCTTAATTGTTTGTGAAAACTTTATCGTCAAATCTCAAAAATAAAACAAAGATCGCCCACCATCCTTTAAAAGTTTGTCAATAATTACAGTTGCACATCACATGTGCTCTATAGAGCAATATACATTCTACGTTCATATAACGTAAATTGAATTTTCAGTACCATTAAAGCATAGACGCATACCTCCTAAGTCATATGTCTATGCAACAATGCAAATGGGAAAAATTAGGTGCAAATTTTATACATGTTAATAAATGTATTTCTTGCAAAGCAACAAAAATGGAAATGGATTCAATTTCATCCAGTGTCTTGACACACAACACCCACAGCCGTCTTTCTTTTTTTACCCGCTGTAGAACCCCCCCCCCCCCCCCCACTGCATGCAACGCAGCGCCCATTTTCTTGAATGATATTTCCTACAAAAATGATATTTTTTTCTTCAAAATATTTAGCTTGGTATACAATTCAAGTGTATATAACCATTTTTTACAGTTGACGATCACTATCAGTTCAAACAAACAGCAAAATACAGACTCAAAGAAAGTTTTGTTTCAGATTTACGTTCCGAATGATTTGCATTACACTTGAAACTATGCAATATTAACTAATTGCTCAAAATGGAAAGATTCAGTCATTAAACCACGATTCTACATTTGAATAATATTATGTCAATTCAATTTTCAAATCACACGGATGCACAAGATATTGAGTAAAAATGTTCACCTTTGCATGTGCACTTCCGTTTGCATTTCTGCACTCTTGTTACAGAAAAAAATGACATTTTAAGAAACAGTGTATATTTCTTCATGTTCTTAGTATTTACATCATAAAGATTCACTCGCAAATCTGTTCAAACAGCTTTAGAAATTAATACTTATTTACTTTAAAACATGGTAACGTAAATATCGGTAACGTAAATATCTTTCTGAGATTTATCGTAACTTTTAATGCCATTGTTCAATTATTCCACTGTTAATTAAAGGCATATTCTAGTGCTTGAGTGTAAGGCAATTTGGCCCATAGGGGACAGTGTAGTTCTCTTACTTAATTTGTGAATAAATACTAACACGTAAATATCGTTGAATTTTTTAACCATTGGACTTATAAGAAAAGGGGGGCTTTTGTTCATAAACACAGACAAACAGTGCCTTTTTTACCTTTCCATGCAATAGAAAGGGTGCTCATGATGTTAAAAAGTTACAACTTAGTCCTATGGAATTAGTTCATCATTCCTTCCAGTCCTTTTGAATTTCCAAATAGAAAAGTAATAATTTTGCGGTGACATCAAAATTTGATAAATATATTAACATTTTTAAAAATCTGTGACACGCATATGTGTGAAGGGTGTGATATTCAGAAAATATAACTCAAATGTAAGACAATCTTACTAAGAAAAAGATATGTTAATGATTTAAAAATTCTTTTTGGTTTAAAATAAAAACTACACGATGATCGGCGACAGTAACGTAAATATCGATTTCTGCTATAAAATGTGATTTTCTCCTAAGATAATCATTCAAGCTACAACAAACAATTGTTGTATTTTAATCAACCACCAACAAAGGTTCGTAAGACTGACAGAAAATAAAATTTATTTAAAATATTATATTACTTAAAACGCGGTACATTATTTGAAGCGAATTGAGACTATAAATTGAGAATGCGTGTACTATGTTGTTTGAATAATTTCACCGTATTCAATTGCTCTATTCATCAAGAAAGATATCCTACGCTTTGTTTTCTCTGTTATTTAAATTGCTGGATCCACCTAACATTCTTCTCTGCAAGCATTGATGCTATTTATTTTTGGAATGCGCAGTACCATGCGCGAAGCAAGCAGTGAGTTTTTCCACTGTCATGGCGGCGGAGGTTACCTGTCCTTGTAATTCCTAGCGGCAGCGACTGGAATCAAGGGCAGAGAACCAGTGCTAGAACCAGTTGAAACAAGGCAATGGAGAGGGTACTTTCACTTTATTTTTTGTTACTGACGATTTCAAACGGATTTTCTTTACAGTTTAATATATGTGTTAATGTAAGCCAACCTTTGGCTAGAACAAGTAAACAATTTGTGGGAATAACTTTAAACAGTACATTTGTGAAAGAAAACTGGAGATATTTTGATCTACAGTAAGGATGAATTGGACAATCGTTATTTTCTCTTAGTCTTTACCGCCACATTTAGCAAAGATTCTATTCAGAACGCAGGCATCTGACGTTATTTATTTTTCTAATATAACAGAAAAAAAACACACCCATAACTGTTACTTTTATATACTGTAACGTTAAGCAAAATAAGTGACGTCAGGTGCCTGTAATATCAGAACATAGGCACTTGTTTTTCTAGGTGTGTCTGAATATGCTCATTAAAATAAATTTAAAAAATGATTGAAATTAGCACGATACAATGGATATGATTTTTTTTAAATGTGCTAATTTCATTGATTTTTTATTTTTATTTTAAAGAGTATATACAGATACACCTAGAAAAACATTTATCCTGCAACTTCCCCTTGCATTGACCTAATAAAGGTAACCTATAGCTAATAAACCAAAGCTTTATCCGGTCACTGCCCTAATAAAGCCTCGTGCATGTATTCCGACATTCCAAAAGCATTGTGAACTCATGTAAATTGCAATGTTTACGCCATGGCGTCGTAGTTTCAACTGCAGAGGTGTGCCTAAATCTGTCGGAAATAGCTTGTTTTAGACGTTCAAATGTAAAATTTTGTTGCAGGATAAACAAAATACAGTGGACCCTCAGATATCCGGACGCCAGATATCCGGATGCTTCGGTATCCAGACGATTTTTCATCGGAACGGATTTTTTAAATGTTATTTTGTCTTGTTTAACTGGTGATTCAGGTATCCGGACGCTTCACATATCCAGACAAATTGACTAGGAACCAAAGCGTCCGGATAAATGAGGCTCCACTGTACATGATAACTGTCTTGAAATATAAGCGAAATTTGGGCTCGGGTCGAAAACGTAAGCCTCGCCGTCTATCACGTTTTCTTACCGTCGCCCAAATATCGCTTATTTCAAGATAGTAACCATGTGTTTTATATATACATAAAATGTCATAAAATACACCATCCTGAAACCAAGTGCCTATGGTGATCACTGCAGAAACAAATTCTAAACAAAATATATGGGTGAAATAATGTGACATTGCTAAGTAAATTTCTTTTGTGCTCGTTGAAGTTGGAAACGAGTAACATACTATCAAAGCCTTTTATCCATTAATTGTTTTATTAATTAAGATTGGTCATTTTCAGATCAAGGAGAATACAGACATTAGCCAAAGGTCTGGCACCAGCATATCTGAGAATTGGGGGAACGGATGCTGATTTTGTCATTTTTACTAAATCAAAGTCGGAACTCATCAAGGAGCATGTTTATCCAGAATTTGATCCTGTCAACTTCACCATGTCAGGTACATATGTACTTAAAAAAAGAATAATTTAGAGGACTTACTTGAGAGATTAATCGGTATATCTCTATTTACAGTTGTACATATCAGTTAATCTATATCGAGACATGCACATAAAAGACAGGGGGACTAGGATTATGAATTTAAATCTAGGATTTTATATATATGGACAATAAACTTGCATATGTGCTACCTACGTCCCTCTTTAAACTTTTTGAACAGGAAAATGCCCATCCAGGTTCTTTCAAGGCAATTATCATGTAAGAAATATGAAGGGGAGATTGAAAACATGGAAAATGTAAGGATACATATACTGATCAGTTTCAAATTCTGCACATTCATTAATTTTTTTATTTCCTTGTAGATATCTTGGTCAACTTTTTAATTTGACAATTAATGTGAAATTAAAACATCCTCACAAAATTTCACAGATTAAATTTGATGAATCTCATTTTAAATAGTTTCATAGATCAGTGACAGCCCCTCCCCTTGAACAGCTGTTTTTTTTCTTCACACTGATCAGACAGTTATTTAACAGACTAGGATTTCCCTCTGATAATTGGGATCCCTTTCATTTATTGTCATCAAACCAATTTGTTCACAGGATGGACAGTAAAAAGCAGATTGCTTTATTGATTTTTATGTCATGTTGTTCTTGAAACCAATATAATTGCACCATCAGAATTTTCCTGCTTTTGATTGTTGATAGTCATTACAATCTGTACGTATACACAGATGATAAGATGAGGATCTCTTGACATATGATCAATGATTTTAAAGTCAGAAGTCTTAAGATTTTATTCAGATGCATTCCACATATGTTTTTTATATATCATCATTGATGTCTAAGGAACTAATTGTGTGATAGTAATCTTAATGCAGATGTTTGCATGGTTAGACAGTAAGATGCTATCTCCATAATACTAAATTACAATAAAAGCTATAGAAGAGATATTAAGACATGTATAAAATGTATAAACAACTGATACTTAAATCACACTTGTACAATTGTACCTGTACCACTTGTAGAGTCATCTTGGGACAGCATTCACAGATTTATGGAGAAAGTTGGTTGGACATTGGTTTTTGACCTCAATTTACTCTATCGCACCAGCGGCAAATGGAACTCTTCAAATGCAGAGGATTTAATAAAGTACACCGTCAAGAAAAACTACACAATGGCAGGATGGGAGCTTGGAAATGGTAAAATAAATTATTAAAAATGAAAGGTTTTAATTTTGTTGTGATATATGTCTCTGTTCTGGCAGTGACAATCTTACTAATTCTGGCAGATATTTTTGGTAGTAAATCGATCCATCCCCAGTCTTTGTCAATTATGTATGGTCCATGCTGTCCTTGTTTCTTATACTGTATGTGTCATATGTATAACTGAACCATTTTTTTTTAAAGTAACATGCATTATTAAGGTCTTCCGTCTTCAGCGGAAGACCTTCTTGTTATTCTTAGGTTTCTTTTCCACTATTTTTAGTATTATTATACGGTAGTTTTTTTTTCTTACCGATTTTTGTGCACGCGAGTTCTCGAAAACGGATTACTCGATTTTCATGAAACTTTCAGGACTGATAGAGCATGGAAAAAACTAGATATGTATTTTTTTGTTTTGATGACGTCACTTCCGGTTCTGAGATTTCCGCATTTTAGTGATTTTCAGAGGGTCATTTTGTCCGGCAGTTTTCTCAAAAAGCACTTAACACAGAAGCATGAAATTTTCAGTGATGCTAGAGCAACCTTTGGAGAAGTGAATTTCGTATATCACAACCACCGGAAGTACGAAGCGCCGATGCTCGCTATGGCTCGAAAATAGTCCTATCAAGAATATCAAAATTTTTAACACCTTTTCTACGATAACTTTTTACCTAGAAATATTTTGTCAAAGCATGTAGAACAAAAAAAATGTAGAATTTGAAGATCTTTCAAATGATATCTCGAGATAAGGGCTGGCCCCTAAAATTAAGGGCCTAGAGGGGCCGAAAGTTTTTCCTTTATATCTCAAAAAGTATTAAGAATTTGTAATACGTCAAACAAGCAAAGTCATTCAAAATGTCAAGCTTAATCTATTGGAGTCGTCAAAATACGTCCAGCGTCGTCACTTCCGGCCAAACCGGAAGTAGTCGAAAAAGCCGTATTTTTGCCGTTCTTGACAAGTTTTTGGGTAACATATATCTCTGGGAGCTTAAAAATTAATTTTCCGTCCGTTGTCGTTACTTCCGGTCAAACCGGAAGTAACAAAAAAGGCTTATTTTTGCATTAATTAACTTAGCCTTAGAGGATTCAAAGCATTTTTGGGCGTTATTTCTCATTTTTGTTAAAAATCAAAGCTACTTCCGGTCAAACAGGACGGAAGACCTACTCGTTGCTTTGCAACGAGCTTTGCTCTAGTTAAGGTCTTCCGTCTTCAGCGGAAGACCTTCTTGTTATTCTTAGGTTTCTTTTCCACTATTTTTATTAAGGTCTTCCGTCTTCAGCGGAAGACCTTCTTGTTATTCTTAGGTTTCTTTTCCACTATTTTTAAGGTCTTCCGTCTCCAACGGAAGACCTTATTGTTTTCGTTCGGTTTCTTTTTCTCTATTATTATTAAGGTCTTCCGTCTCCAACGGAAGACCTTATTGTTTTCGTTCGGTTTCTTTTTCTCTATTATTATTATTATTATTATTATTATTCTTTTTTTTTCTTACCGATTTTGTGCACGCGAGTTCTCGGAAACGGCTTGGTCGATTTTCACGAAACTTTCAGATTTGATAGACATTGGTCTGAACCTTATTGGAAATTTTTTATATGTACGTCGTCACTTCCGGTCGTGAGATATGGACGATTTACTGATTTTCAGAGGGTCAGCTTGTCCTGGCAATCACTAAAAAACGAATGAAGATACTGACTTGAGATTTTCAGTGAAGGTAGACGAAGGATATCTGAATTGCTTTTTTGAGTCTATATTTTTCTAACGCAAAAGGTGTTGAAGCTCTCTTGAGCTCATTATTATTATTGTTTTTCTGACCATCTAATTTTGTGCACGCGATTTCTCGAAGACTACTGGGTTGATTTTCATGAAATTTGCAGGAACAATGTGTTGTTATTGGAAGTTATTTTATTTAAGAGATTTTTTTGGAAATTCCTTTCTGGTGCCAAGTTACGGATAATTTTCTGATTTTTAAATGACATTTTGTACGCGGATTATCTCAAGAACGGTAAAAGATATCACTGTGAAACTTTCAGGGATTATAGATCGTGATAAGTACTATCCAAGATGCGATCTTTTGTACGTCGTCTCTACTTCCTGTTGTAACGGCATGCAAAGAAAAAAAGTCGAATTTTTCAACTTTTTTGTTTTCCAATATTTTAAAATTATATTAGTATGGCTGATAGAAACATATCTCATTAGGCTAAATATGTAATTTGTTTGTAAATTGATAAATTCAAACTCGAGATATTAACATTCAAAAATATGAAGCGGGATCAAAATGGCGGCGGTCTTTGTCAATTCCGACATTTCGCAATAGGGGTTTACAGAGGCAGCCAAGCGTTTGCTTGAACGAAAGTTACATAAGGATCAATGAAATTTGTAAGGATACTTGGATTATCACGTCGTAGGTTCGTTGCAATTCTGCGCCAAACTTCATTTATAATCCAAGGTCTCCTTACAAGTCTTCTTTAATTGGTTTTGGTTGGTTGTCAAAGTAGAAGTAGAAAAGAATTAATGTGCAAATTGATTACAATATCTACTATCTTTTGTTTTGCATCACGGAAACACATAACTTAAATCATAGTTATAATTAATAGTTTTTCAAGAAACAATATATATAGTAAGTACGAAACGTGACCACTGGTTTCCCATGCACACTTGTGTCATATTAAACTAATAGAAAGGACAACTGTTACAATAAGAAAACATTTTTTTAAAGATAATTATTTTTCAGAGACCGTTTAATTAACCTCTGTACTTTTTTTTCTCAATGCAAGTTATTGAACATAATGGAATCTTATTCCTTGACCTACGTAGGACGATCGAGGAATTTTTTCGGTGAAACATACTACCTTTTTCATGAAAGTGTAGGTAATCGGAATGGTCCACTTTCGTGATTAAGAAGAATTCTTGTGCCTTTTGACATTTTTATCCTATTAATGTTATTATCCCAACACAGGTCGTATACAACGAGATATCGGACGGAAGACCTACTCGTTGCTCGCAACGAGATCGGATCTAGTTATTATTATTATTGTTTTTTTTTCTTACCGATTTTGTGCACGCGAGTTCTCGGAAACGGCTCGATGGATTTTCATGAAACTTTCAGGGCTGATAGAACATTAAACAAACCTGATATATATTTTTTTGTTTTGATGACGTCACTTCCGGTTTTGAGATTTTTGCGATTTAGTGATTTTCAGAGGGTCACTTTGTCCGCGAGTTTTCTCAAAAACGGCTTAGGATAGAAACTTGAGTTTTTCAGCAATGATAGAGCAAAATATGTAAATGTGACATACGTATTTCATTTTTACCGGAAGTGCTGCATGCCGACGCTCGCTATGGTCCGAAAAGGGGCATGTCGAGAATTTTAAAATTTCTAACACTTTTTCTTCGATATCTTTTTACATACAAATATTTCTTTAAGACATATAGAACAAAAGAAGCGTAAAATTACGTGATCTTTCAAACGATATCTCGAAAAAAGGGCTGGCCCCTATAATTAAGGGCCGAGAGGGGCCAAACGTTTTTCCTTTATATCTAAAAAAGTATTGAGAATTTGTAATACGTCAAAGAAGCAAAGATGTTCAAAATGCTAAGCTTAATCTATCTGGATCGTCAAAATTCATCCGGCGACGTCACTTCCGGTCAAACCGGAAGTGTACGAAAATGCATACTTTTGCCTTTCTTGACTTATTTTGGGTAGCACATCTCACTGGAAGCATAAAACTTAATTTTCCGTCCGTCGACATCACTTCTGGTCACACCGGAAGTAGCCAAAAATAGCTTAATTTTCAAGGTTTTGACGCAAAATTGAATTTTTAAAGTCAATTGAAACAACTTAGCTCATTGCTTTCATTTGTTGACGTCACTTCCAGTCAAAACAGGACGGAAGACCTACTCGTTGCTTTGCAACGAGCTTTGCTCTAGTTATTAAGGTCTTCCGTCTCCAACGGAAGACCTTATTGTTTTCGTTCGGTTTCTTTTTCTCTATTATTATTATTATTATTATTATTATTCTTTTTTTTCTTACCGATTTTGTGCAAGCGAGTTCTCGGAAACGGCTCGGTCGATTTTCACGAAACTTTCAGATCTGATAGATATTGGTCTGAACCTTATTGGAAATTTTTTATATGTACGTCGTCACTTCCGGTCGTGAGATATGGACGATTTACTGATTTTCAGAGGGTCAGCTTGTCCTGACAATCACTAAAAAACGAATGAAGATATTGACTTGAGATTTTCAGTGAAGGTAGAGGAAGGATTGCTGAATTGCTTTTTTGAGTCTATATCTTTCCAGCGCATAAAGCGTTGAAGCTCGCCTGAGCTCCTTTTTATTATTATTTTTCTGACCATCTAATTTTGTGTACGCGATTTCTCGAAGACTACTGGATGGATTTTCATAAAATTTGCAGGGACAATGTGTTGTTATCTGAAGTTATTTTATCCGAGAGATTTTTTGGAAATTCTTTTCTGGTGCCAAGTTACGGACAATTTTCTGATTTTAAAATGACATTTTGTTCGCGGATAATCTCAAGAACGGTGAAAGATATCAAGCTGAAACTTTCAGGGATTATAGATCTTGATAAGTACTATCCACGACGCGATCTTTTGTACGTCGTCTCTACTTCCTGTCGTAACGGCATGCAAAGAAAAAAGTCGAATTTTTAAAACTTTTTTGTTTTTTAATATTTTCAAATTATATTAGCATGGTTGATAGAAACATTTATTATTAGGCTAAATATATAATTTGTTTGTAAATTGCTGAATTCGAACTCGAGATATTAACATTCAAAAGTCTGAAGCGGGACCATAATGGCGGCGGTCTCTGTCAATTCCAACATTTCGCAATAGGGGTTTACAGAGGCAACCGAGCGTTTGCTTGAACGAAAGTTACATAAGGAGCAAAGAAATGTGTAGGGATACTTGGATTGTCACATCGTAGGTTCGTTGCAATTCTGTTTCAAACTACATTTATAATCCAAGGTCTCCTTACAAGTCTTCTTTAATTGGTTTTGGTTGTTTCTCAAAGTAGAAATAGAAAAGAATTAATGTGCAAATGAAGTACAATATCTACTATCTTTTGTTTTGCATCACGGAAACACATAACTTAAATCATAGTTATAATTAATATTTTTTTAAGAACAATATATAGAGTAAGTACAAAACATGACCACTGTTTTCCAGTGCACACTTGTGTCATATTTGAAGCTCGCCTGGGCTCGAAAAATAGACTCACAAATATCTCGCGAAATTTGACACGTTTTCTTTGATATCTTTGTACCTGTAAAATTGGTTAACAGATATATAATAAAAGTTGTTCAGAATAACAAATTCTTTCATTTAATAAGAAGAAAAAGGGTCTGACCCCTCAAATAAGGGGCCTTGAGGGACAATAACGTTTCAATTTATAACTCTTTAACTATCAAGATTCTGTTATATATTTCTAAAAGCAAAAATGTTTATCTTAACAATCTACAACAATACAATGAAAAAGTATGATCATACGTTACGTAAAAAAGGGCCATAAGGAGCCAAGATGCTGAAATCTTTGCTTCTTTTTATCTCCAAAGGGAGAAATATTTTGATAAGGAGTATTGAATAAGAGATCTTTAGAATTGTATTTTAAACAATATACAACAATTCAATTTTTGCAAAACGGCCCCATTTAGGACTTGAAGGGCTGGCCTTTATATATTTCTATTCTGCATAGCTCAAAAACGAAAAGAAATTTCTGAATAGTTGTGCAACAAAAATCATTAAAGTTACAAACCGTATCATTTGAAATGAAGAAACAGGGGCTGACCCCTAAAATAAAGGGCCCAGAGGGGCCAAAAGAATTTTATCTATAACTCATTGATGATATCTAAATCAAAAGGATTTGATCAAAACAGAGAAAGCATGATATCATTATGTTTTAACAAAGATCGAAGTCAAAATCATATCTTATCTTATCGAAAATTCGGACGGAAGACCTACTCGTTGCTCGCAACGAGATCGTTTCTAGTTATTATTATTATTGTTTTTTTTCTTACCGATTTTGTGTGCACGATTTCTCGGAAACGGCTCGTTCGATTTTGATGAAACCTTCAGGACTGATAGAACATCAAACAAACCTGATATATAATTTTTTGTTTTGATGACGTCACTTCCGGTTTTGAGATTTCCGCGATTTAGTGATTTTCAGGGGGTCTCATTGTCCATCATTTTTCTCGAAAATGCCTTAAGACAGAAACATGAGATTTTCAGCGATGATAGAGCAATGTGTGCTCTTTTGTCACACACCACTCTTTTTCTCCGGAAGTGCCGCACGTCGGCGCTCGCTATGGCTCGAAAAAAGACATATTGGGAATTTAGAATTTTTTAACACATTTTTTGCAATATCTTTTTACACATTAATATTTTGTTAAGACATATAGAACAAAAGTTGTGAAGAATGTCACGATCTTACGAAAGATATCAACGAAAAGGGGCTGGCCCCTACAATAAAGGGCCAAAAAGGGCCGAAAGTTTTTCCTTTATATCTCAAAAAGTATTGAGAATTTGTAATACGTCAAAGAAGCAAAGTTGTTCTAAATATCAAGCTTTATCGAATGGCGTCGTCGAAATACGTCGGGCGACGTCACTTCCGGTCAAACCGGAAGTAGTCCAAAATTGCATATTTTTTCCGTTCTTGACAGGTTTTTGGGTAACATATGTCACTGGAAGCTTAAATCTTAATTTTCAGTCCGTCGACGTCACTTCCGGTCAAACCGGAAGTAGCCAAAAATTGCTTAATATTGCATTAATTCATAAAGATTTGGAAGATTAAACCATTTTTGAACTTCATTACTCTTTTTTTTTAAATGAAAGTTACAGGTGCACTTCCGGTCAAACAGGACGGAAGACCTACTCGTTGCTTTGCAACGAGCTCGGCTCTAGTTATTATTGTTTTTTTTTCTTACCGATTTTGTGCACGCGAGTTCTCGGAAACGGCTCGCTCGATTTTCATGAAACTTTCAGGACTGATAGAACATCAAACAAACCTGATATATAATTTTTTGTTTTGATGACGTCACTTCCGGTTTTGAGATTTCCGTGATTTAGTGATTTTCAGGGGGTCAGTTTGTCCGCGAGTTTTCTCAAAAACGGCTTAGGATAGAAACTTGAATTTTTCAGCAATGATAGAGCAATATATGTAGATGTGACATACGTATTTCATTTTCACCGGAAGTGCTGCACGCCGACGCTTGCTATGGTCCGAAAAAGAGCATGTCGAGAATTTTAAAATTTCTAACGCCTTTTCTTCGATATCTTTTTACCTACAAATATTTTGTTAGGACATATAGAACAAAAGTTGTAGAGAATGTCACGAATTTTCAAAGCATATCAACAAAAAGGGGCTAGCCCCTATAATTAAGGGCCCAGAGGGGCCAAAAGTTTTTCCTTAATATCTCAAAAAGTATTGAGAATTTGTAATACGTCAAAGAAGCAAAGTTGTTCAAAATTTCAAGCTAAATCTATTGGTGTCGTCAAAATGTGTCCGCTGACGTCACTTCCGGTTAAACCGGAAGTAGTCAGAAAATGCATATTTTTGCCGTTCTTGATATGTTTTTGGGTAACATATGTCACTGGAAGCATAAAACTTAATTATCCGACCGTCGACGTCACTTCCGGTCAAACTGGAAGTTGCCAAAAATAGCTTATTTGGAAGGTTTTGATACAAAATTCAAATTATAAAGTCACTGGAGACGACTTAGCTCATTGCTTTCTTTTGTTGACGTCACTTCCGGCACTTCCGGTCAAAACCGGACGGAAGACCTACTCGTTGCTTTGCAACGAGCTTTGCTCTAGTTCTATATAATTTTTTCATCATATCTTTAAAAAATTTTTACTACTAAATCTCGAGATTATGCAGTGCAATAATCCCCTGTGAGATTTTATAATATAAAGTCTTTTGACCAAGTATTAGTGCAAAGGATGAGGGTTAATTGTTGGTCATATAAATGAAAATGTAGTGTATCTCAGAATTTTCTTGAGATATTAATATAAACAAAATACTCTTCAATAAGTTTGCTGAAAATCAAAATCTGCATTGATTTGAAAATCAGGGAGTAAATACACTTTAGGGTAAACAAGCAAATTCAAAGAATTGTGGTCCCCCGCTTTCGGTGTCTTCGTTGGTGAGATGTTATTTTTTATGACATATTGTGTCTAATATGAACATCATATGTCATTTCACAGAAATTATCATTGAAGTTGATTTTTTTGAAGGATGAAAACCTTATCCTGACCGTTAAAAAGTTATGGCCAAAGTTAACGTTTTTTAAAGTAGGTCAACTCCAAGGTCAAGATCAAAGGGTCAAAGTTGTTGATGAAAGGTTTTCTCACAAGGATTACATATGTGAAGTATGAAAGCCCTAGCCCTTACTGTTCAAAAGTTGTGGTCAAGGTTAAAGTTTTTACATAAGTACGTAAATCTTTAAGGTCAAGGTCAAAAGGTCAAAGTTGTTGATATCCAATGAAAGGACTTGCCACAAAGAATACATATGTGAAATATAAAAGTCCTAGTATCTACGGTTCAAAAGTTGTGACCAAAGTTAAAGTTTTTTTAAAAAGTAGTTAAAACTCCAATCCAAGGTCAAAGGGTAAAAGTTGTTGGTATCCAATGAAAGGTCTTCTCAAAAAGATTACATATGTGAAGCACGAAAGCCCTAGCCCTCACCGTTCAAAAGTTATAGTCAAGGTTAAAGTTTTTTCATAAGTTTGTAAATCTCCAAGGTCAAGGTCAAAAGGTCAAGGTTGTTGGTATCCAATGAAATGTCTTGCAACAAGGAATAAATATGTGAAATATGAAAGTCCTAGTATCTACTGTTTAAAAGTTGTGACCAAGGTTAAAGTTTTTAAAAAGTAGTTAAAACTCCAAGGTCAAGGTCAAAGGGTATAAGTTCTTGGTATCCAATAAAAGGTCTTCTCACAAGGATTACATATGTGAAGTACGAAAGCCTTAGTCCTCACCGTTCAAATCTTATGGTCAAGGTTAACGTTTTTTCATAAGTACGTAAATCTCCAAGGTCAAGGTCAAAAGGTCAAGGTTGTTGGTATCCAATGAAAGATCTTGCCACAAACAATACATTTGTGAAATATGAAAGTCCTAGTACCTTACATTCAAAAGTTATGGCCAAAGTAAAAGTTTGAAATTTCTGTGTAAAAGTGGGTCAAACTCAAAGGTCAAGGTCAAAAGGTCAAATTTGGTGGTACCCAAAGAAAGGTCTTGTCACAAGGAATACACGTGTGAAATATGAAAGTCATAGCTCAACTAAATCAAAAGTTATGGGCAAGGTTAAAGTTTTTGTGACGGACAGACTGACAGACGGACAGACTGACAGACTGACGGACAGACGGACAGACGAATGAGATTTAATGTCCCCTCGCTTTCGCGAAAGCGCGGGACAAAAATTATTAGGAGCTCTGATATTTAGCAGACAGCTTGCTTGTTAGATTACAATAGGAAAATTGTTCTTTTCCATAACAATTATTCTACAGGTCAGAGATTGAAGTCTAAGTTTAGGGCTCATTTTCCTTAATTTTTTCACTATATATATATTATTCTTTCATTAATAATCCATTTCATTGAATCACTTGAATGAATTTATTTTTTGTTTATAAGAACCTGGTGAGTATATGAAGTTTGGAGTCAATCTGACTGTTCAGGAGCTTGTCAAGGACTACCAGAAGTTATCCAGCATCCTGTCCAAAGCACCTGCCAAGGTCAGGGGTCACATCTTAATAGGGCCCAGTACTATACCACTGGTTCAGACTCGTGTCATAAAGTTTTTCAATGAGTAAGTATCTCTCTGATTTTGATGGTGATTTCCTGATTTTTTTTACTATTTGATAGCAGATTACTATTTTTCCTTTCTATCTTCAAGATTTTTACAATTAGGAGGTAGCAGTGCAGTAACATCACCAAATTTTCATCAGTAAGTAGTTATTGCTCTTAATTTATTTTTCATACTATATATATGTTACATATACATATAGATGTAAACCATATAACCATGAATCAAATCTTTTATCTTTCATTAAACATTTTATAGCAATATTCTTTTCAAGCTACAATGATATTGGACATTTATCGATAATAGTGATTTTTGAGTACGGTATATAAAAAGTTTTTAATCAGAAGTATTATGGTTGATTTTGAAATGAATTAATTTTGTCTCTTAGTTACTATATGGACCAAGCGAGTGCCTCCCTTAGAGACTTTATTGACCCAGACATACTTGATGGACTTCAGGTAGAAATTAACCATGGAAATGATGCAACCAAAAAGTTTACCAAAGGGAAACAACTGTGGATAGGGGAGACAAGCTCAGCTTGGGGAGGAGGAGCTAAGGGTCTGTCTGATACTTATGTGGCAGCTTTCATGTAAGGCTCTATTCTCTTTGGTACTGTGCTTAGGGGGAAAAACTGAATGCTATATTCTATGTAATCATTTTTGTCATAATTGTAAATAAAAATACCATAGGTATTTTTGATAAACCTTTTCAAATCTATGCAAGTATTTCTTATCAATTTTATGAGTTTGGTTTGTGAACAAATGAATTCTGGGGGAAGTTTATAATTATATTCTTATAATTAACTTATATCACATCTTTGTGATTCAAGAGTTATTCCCCTTGATGCAGATTCATTAAAAATGTATATTAGTAAATTTTATTAATATTGACTGACTTACATTATTATTAATTCAGTATTGCTTTATTTTTCTGAGGTGGCTGGATAAACTTGGTCTTGCTGCAAAAAGTAATGTTGGTGCTGTTATACGGCAGACATTTTATGGAGCAAATTATGGACTGATAGACCACATCACCCAGGAACCAAATCCTGTAAATTTGTTTTTAGTGTGTTTGCATGATATATTTTGATCACTGTAGAAGACCTCTGAAACATGAAACCAGTTTTGAAAGATCAATTTGAAAAAAAAAGAACTAATTTTTCATTGTACACAACATGAAATCTTTACTTGCCTGTCCATTATAATTAAAGTAACATTTTTTTTATCTGCAGTATACAAATAATACAATGAAGATTGAACTGGCCAATATTTACCGTTTAAAACAAATACAGATGGATATAAGAGTTGTGGTTTACTTATATAGCTTCTTGACTATTTATTAGGTGTCGAGAAGATGTATGGTTTTTTAGTAAGATCCAAATAATCATATCAAAGCATGATTCAACTTCAGTATTTTTAACACTGATACACATATCTCGAATACCATGCTTTCAAGTATTTTTACCCTAGATATTAAGATATCTCAAATCTTTGGATATATAATTAAATTTTTTTCTCAATACTGTTCCATAGAGTTTAAGATAATTAATGGATAGTTGACTACATGTATAAAAATCAGTATTACAATAACACTGTGTCTGATTACCAAAAAATCCCAAAACTTATTACATGTATCAACTCTCTGTCAATTTTTGGTTCTTTTACAGGACTATTGGTTAACCTATTTATACAAAAAGCTGGTTGGAGATTATGTGTTCCAAACAACATCATCAGATAAGGACAGGAGAGTGAGATTTTATTGCCACTGTGCTGCAGATGGGTCAGTATTAATAACCTCTCTCCAAGTTATACTAAAAAATCTCGGACATAGATTATTAATTTTTTAAGCTTGATTGTTCAGATATTGAAATGTTTCCTTCAGATTTCCCCCAGGCAGCCTCACTCTGTATGGCATGAATCTGTACAATTCTAATGTGACAGTACAACTGAACCAAGAGTTTGATACCTCTCACATGCTGGTTTATCTGATGTCACCTCCCAACAATGATCTCAAGTCTAAGTAAGTACACACAAAGTTTAATTCTTATACATGTATATGGAATTACATGTAATGTGGAGTTCCTGAGATTACTGTAAATCACTTTTTATTTGTGAGAACTTTATTTTCGTGTAATTACGGGAGGCGGTGTTCTTGTAAGTATTCCTAAAGATGATATAGAGCAAATTCAAATATTTTTTGTCTTGCTAATAAAGAGTCAATGTCTATCTTACGTAAATAAAGAGTCGTATAAATTTAGTGATCTACAGTATTTTTTAAAACCCACTTTAAGGATATCCGATCCTCAGCCAGGAAGGATAACTCCAAAAATTAATATTTAATTTGAAATGCATCAAAATGAAGCTTGAAAATGAATTTTTTTTCATGCAGCAATTTTCATTTTATTCATCTTTATAAGATTCAAGGTCTTTGGAAGTCGTAGAAAAGGTCTTATAAAAGTTGACATTTGTCACACCTATAAAAGGAAAAAAATTAATACAGTTTTCAGAGAAATAAGATTGTTCTTGAATCCAGTCTTAATACCAATGCTTATTAGCATGGTATGAAATAAGAAGTGATTTGTAGTGTCTTTCAATGATAGCAAAAACCTTTTACACTGTGTATTATAGAATACGTGACGGAAATAGAAGACAAAAAATACCAAGTACATATAAAAACCATGGGAATTTATCTGAATGCCTGGATACCTATTGTTTTTTAATCCAAGATATATTTGTTGATCAATTTGCAATTAGAAAATGCATTGCTGATATTCCAATTCACTTTTTCTGCAAAAATATTATTACATTTTCATACTATAATATGATTCCTTAATCTTTAACTTTAATGAAGTACTGTCCTTAAATTTACATAACTTTGTGAAAAAAAAATTGTAGATTGAGACTTTAAAAATGTAGATATAGATTTAAATTACACGAGGACCCCCATGTCAATTTCAATAGTCCTCGCCCACTGACGCCAAACACCAAGGCAGCCACACAAGATTTACATGCATATCTGGCCTCCTTATCAAACATGAAATTTGCATGTATATTAGGCCTCCTTAGCTTTTGACCTATCAACCTGCCTAATTTACATTCCATTAGAATTATCAAGAAATTAACTTCGCTAACTTTCAAAGAGTTATCACAGAGAAAAAATTAGAAATGGAAATATAAGTAAATTAAAACTGTACAAAGTTAATTTATCAATTTTGAATATGTATTTTCATGATATATATTTATATTTTTTGAAAGCTTTTACTATTCATTTTTATATTCCTTTTTTAATGTTATTTGGAAAGAAAATATTTATACCAATTTACATCTCTACTTTCACATACTAAGCAAATTATTTAGTTTATCCTTTTGTATAAGATATATGCATAATTTAATTATTATATTTATGATGTCACTTGATTTTTTAATTGTGCAATCAATTTGACTTTGAGGCCATATTTTCCCCATTTATTATTTTAAATGCCAATCTTACATGTATATGTATATTTGCTTATTTGACAGGAATAAATGTCATATGCTTTCTTGTCAGAGTCAAAGTGTTTTCTAGGTCCATCAAAATGTCACACTACAGTGTATATCTCGCCCAAAAATCAATTTCCAAAATTATAAAATTATTGCACATGGTTACCATTGTAATCAATAATTGAAAAAGAGGTTTCAACAGTGCTGATGCCTCTCAAATGATAAATTGATTACGTCTGTCAGCCTAGTTGTCAGCAATGTTTAAGGCATCCATCCTTGGCCAATCCCATTTTTGGTTGCCTCAAATTTCCGTTACAATCTTGCAATTCAGTCGAATAAACAATACGTACGTAGTCATCTGATGTTTATTGAATATTGTGGCCGCCAAAACAAGTTTATGTTTGTTAATCTTTTTGCAGCATTTTTAGCTCACCTGAGCGGAAGGCTCAAGTGAGCTTTTCTGATTGTCCGTCGTCCGTCCGTCGTCCATCTGTCTTTCCGTCTGTAAACTTTTCACATTTTCATCTTCTTCTCAAGAACCACTGGGCCAATTTTGACCAAACTTGGTACAAAGCATTCATGGGTGAAGGGGAATTTAAATTGTAAAAATAAAGGGCCAAGTCCCCTCACAAGGGGAGATAATCAAGAAAAGACAAAAATAGGGTGGGGTCATTAAAAAATCTTCTTCTCAAGAAACACTGGGCCAGAAAAGCTGAAACTTATTAAAGCATCCTGGGGTAGTGTAGATTCTAAATTATTCAAATCATGACCCCCGGGGGAAGGGCGGGGTCACAATTGGGAATCAAAGTTATACATAGAAATATATAGGAAAAATCTTTGAAAATCTTCTTCTCAAGAACCACTGGGTCAGAAAAGCTGAAACTTATGTGGAAGCATCCTGGGGTAGTGTAGATTCTAAATTGTTCAAATCATGACCCTCAGGGAAAGGGCTGGGCCACAATGGGGAATCAAAGTTATACATAGAAATATATAGGAAAAATCTTTGAAAATCTTCTTCTCAAGAACCACTGGGCCAGAAAAGCTGAAACTTATGTGGAAGCATCCTGGGGTAATTTAGGTTCTAAATTGTTCAAATCATGACCCCCGGGGAAAGGGCGGGGCCACAATGGGGAATCAAAATTTTACATAGGAATAAATAGGAAAAATCTTTGAAAATCTTCTTCTCAAGAACCACTGGGCCAGAAAAGCTGAAACTTATACGGAAGCATCCTGGGGTAGTGTAGATTCTAGATTGTTCAAATCATGACCCCCGGGGGAAGGGCGGGGCCACAATGGGGAATCAAAGTTTTACATAGAAATAAATAGGAAAAATCTTAGAGAAATTTTTCTTCTCAAGAACCACTGGGTCAGAAAAGCTGAAACTTACGTGGAAGCATCCTGGGGTAGTGTAGATTCGAAGGGCGGGGTCACAATTGGGAATCAAAGTTATACATAGAAATATATAGGAAAAATCTTTTAAAATCTTCTTCTCAAGAACCACTGGGTCAAAAAAAACTTATGTGGAAGCATCCTGGGGTAGTGTAGATTCTAAATTGTTCAAATCATGACCCTCAGGGAAAGGGCTGGGCCACAATGGGAATCAAAGTTATACATAGAAATATATAGGAAAAATCTTTGAAAATCTTCTTCTCAAGAACCACTGGGTCAGAAAAGCTGAAACTTATGTGGAAGCATCCTGGGGTAGTGTAGATTCTAAATTGTTCAAATCATGACCCTCAGGGAAAGGGCTGGGCCACAATGGGGAATCAAAGTTATACATAGAAATACACATGTATATAGGAAAAATCTTTGAAAATCTTCTTCTCAAGAACCATTGGGCCAGAAAAGCTGAAACTTATGTGGAAGCATCCTGGGGTAGTTAAGATTCTAAATTGTTCAAATCATGACCCCCGGGGAAAGGGCGGGGCCACAATGGGGAATCAAAATTTTACATAGAAAAAAATAGGAAAAATCTTTGAAAATCTTCTTAAGAACCACTGGGCCAGAAATGTTAATTTATCAATTTTGGGGTAGTGTATTTTCTAAATTGTTATATATGACCCCCGGGGATATTTTTTGGGGAATCAAAGTTTTACATAGAAATTTTCTATAAATTTTTCTTTTTTAAAACCACTGGGTCAGAAAAGCTGAAACTTACGTGGAAGCATCCTGGGGTAGTGTAGATTCGAAGGGCGGGGTCACAATTGGGAATCAAAGTTATACATAGAAATATATAGGAAAAATCTTTGAAAATCTTCTTCTCAAGAACCACTGGGCCAGGAAAGCTGAAACTTATGTGCACATGGAAGGATCTGGGGTAGTGTAGATTTCAAAATGTCTAAGTTATGATCAGTGGGGTAGAGTGGGGATGCATTTATTACAAGGGGGAAATCTGGTAAAGAAAAGAATGGTCAAAGCTTCTCAGGTGAGCGATGTGGCCCATTGGCCTCTTGTTTAACAAAAAGAAGCAACTGAATTATTTCCAGCGTCATTAGAGATGCCTCCCTCAGACACCAATTACATTATAACTTTCATAAATTTCTTTCAAAATCTTTCGCTTCAGTTAATATCGTTTTCATTTTATATGATCAAAGACTAATATATAAAACCATAACCTTACAGTTATGCAGTTTTAATCATTAAGAAATGCATTTTCTCAATTTTAGCAATTTCGTATAGCTTTTACGCCCAACAGAGGTTTTAATTTGGTCAATCGGACATAAATAAAATGAATACATCAAGAAAATTAATAATATTGCGGCTATCCTTCAAAATGTTAATTTACAGTGTTCAGAGAATTTAATGCTCTAAATAAATAGTGAATATTTTTTTCATATAAGGACAAGGTTTACAGAAAAGTATATTCTTAAGCCGTTGTTGACCTTAGTTTAACCTTTTACGACGCATGTCAGGCGTAACATTCCTCTAAATATTTCTGTGATAATTATCCATTTTTTGTTACAAACAAGCAAGTAGTCTCTGTATACAGTTTATCGGTATATGAAAGTTTATTGTGTAAAGATACCCGGTAAACGTATTTAAATTGTATATTTGTATTCCTTTTAAATACATTTGTATTGTATACTTGAATTTAAATCTGTTTTATTAATAAAGATAGTTTCAGAACTTAAAAATATAAAATTGTTTTACTATTTTCATGCTTAGCTCAACTATAAGCGTACCTATGGGCAGCGGAAAGGGCAAAAATTACCATAATGAGAAAACAAACAATTATTTTAATTTCAATGATCATAAAAACTTAACATATGATATACAATGCATAATCAACAGAACTTTTTGCAGAACAAGTATACATTAAAGCATAACAAACGAACGAGTACGTAACAAACATTAATGAATGCAAAACCAACGATCATCTTTGCAGCACAAACGTACATAAAAACACGACAAACGAAAAAAACTTGACCAACGTGCATGCATTAAATCTAGTCTTCCCGACTATCGGATTTTTTTTAAATTTCTTTTTTGTCGGTGCACAGAAACTCTTCAAACTTCTTAGGCACATTTTCTTTTTAAATGAATTCAATAATACGTAAAAACTTAAACAAATTTGCGTATTTATTACTGAATCAGCAGTATCACCTTCAAAAAGCGGTAAATGTAGTACTCCGTTATAAATATGACAACCAAAAACAGACATCGATACAGAGAGACGTAAGTGTCGTAGATAGTAATGGTACATGGGCACAGATTTGAAGTTAATATTTTCTGTATAATATTTCGACTTATGTATTTTAATAGTATTTCACACAAAAAATATATTAAAAATCTTATTTCATCTAAAAGTTATTAAAACTTCAAATTTTTAGACGGGTTTGATTGGCACATCCTTGCACTCTCACAAATTTTAATTTTATTCTTAATACTTAGGAAAAGTGGCAATCTTGTTTCAATAACTTTAAGACGAAATAATTAACTTCAAATCTGTGTCCATATATCTCTAAAGATATTTAACGTATTGATATTGAGAAGATATTTCTTCTCAGAAAGATTGAATTAGTATTTCAATGAAAATTGGTGGTGTTAATAAAAAATGAACAATTAAATTCTATAAAAATTCATAACATCAAAATGATTTGATTTCAAAAAAGATTTTTATCAAAATCTTCATAAAAATAGCTAAATCTAACATTGTACTTATGGTAAAATAATGCAAAATGAAAGTACTGCATTGTTATACATTGACGTAGCATCGTTTTTAAAAGGAGGGGGTAACCAAAGAAAAAATTTCAATCTAGCTGAAAAAAAGATTTTAAAAACTTAACAAGCCAAAACAAAAAGGAAATTTAAATGATATAGCCCAAACTCGAAAATCCCGTGTGTGTGAGTGTGTGTGTGTGTGTGTGTGTGTGTGTGGGGGGGGGGGGGGGGGGTTATGTTCAATTCTTTCAGTGCCAATTTTTTTCCCTAATATACATGTACTGCATAACCCATTTTGACCTTACTCTTAAAATTGGGAATTGTTGCTACGTACCTGTCATATGATATGCCACTGTAATGTAAAGTTATCATAATAGATTCTTGTAATATTTAAAGAATTGGGGAAAACCAACTTTTATGTAACAAGAACAACAAAAATTGACGAAACGGCCTTCAGGAGAATGAGATATTTTTCTACATTTTATGTAAATTCTTTTCTTTCATTTTAAATTTTTAAGATGAATCAACCCCCCAAAAAGTAAAAAATTTAAGGGGGGTCTGAGGTAGAACCACGTCCATGTTGTATAACATAAACATAATGTGGCAAAGAGTTCTATACAAAAAAAAAATGTGTGGGGGAATTTCTGTGCATACAAATTATCTAGCATGTAAATGATGGTTTTCATTTATTAAAAAATATAAACTGTACCTCAGTTTGTTGTTTTTAATCGCGATTCTACGGTGTCCTTTTTTCAGTGGTTTTCGCATTTATAGCTGAGTACTAGATTTACCGCTTTTGGCAGATGATACTGCTGATTCAGTAATAAATACGCAAATTTGTTAAAGTTTTTATATATTAATGAATTTTTTTAAACCTAGAAATTTGCCTAGAAAAGACAAAAAAGAAATCTGCAAGAAAAAAAAAAAGAAAACGGGACCGTCGGGAGCCGGGAGTCGGGAAGACTGGATTTACCGCGTGCACGTTCGTTTGTCGTGTTTTTATGTACGTTTGTACTGCAAAGATGGTCGTTGGTTTTGCATTCATGTATGTTTGTTACGTACTTGTTCGTTGATTATGCTTTAATGTATACTTGTTCAGCGAAAAGGTCTGTTGATTATGCATTGTATATCATTTGTTAAGTTTTTATGGTCATTGAAATAAAATAATTGGTTGTTTTCTTATTTTTGTAATTTTTGCCCTTTCCGCTGCCCATACTACGTACCGAGAAAAAAAGAAGCTAGCATTTCTTCCCAGCATTTGGATAACTAGTATTTAAGATTCAGTAAGAGCTTTAAAAGACAGTGTGGTTTCATGAGATTGTGGCATTACAATAAAGGTCGTTTTTAAAGATAACCTACTTAGACAAAGTGCTTTTGAGGCATTATCCCCTGATGCTGTACTATACGTATAGTATAGCAAGAGCATGATCGTACGAATACTTTCTAAAACGAGGCAAGCTAATGACGAAGAAGTTGATGATACAAGATAAAAACAGTCTAATTTAAAGTCACAATTTCTCAAATTCTATGGTCGATACAATGGCCTTTTCGAAAAATACAATTCGTCCTTATGTTGAATGTTGACTGGGTTTTATTAAATACAAATTGTGAGACCATTATTTACACAGTTGAATTGTCTGTGGTTATTCTTATTGCCCCATCATGACAAGAAGCACACGGCAGGTATCAAAGGTCGACAGGGGATTTCTCGTCCTCAGCGTCTAATCCATCTCCAATTTTTGTAGAGGTCTCTGTTTCCTCTGCTTCCAGTTTGTATTTTTGAGTAAAGGATCACTTCACTGTACATAGGGATCTGACCTATAGGACCGGGCTTGGTTTTATTCTCTACAAAAAGCTTGTCGATTTCCGTTCTGATTAATGACATTAGGCTGAATGCATATAACAATTTGTTTTTCCTAAATCTTTATTTCAGTGAGTAGAGATAGAGGGAACCCTTTTTTTATTGATTTTCTGAGTTTGTTATCTCCAAATGTAATAATTGATATTTGTCTTTACTTCTCATTGTACATTAAGGTAATGTCTACTGCCTCTGAAATTCTATTCTTAATGTCTATGCTATTTATTCGTGGATATAATAATAACCTGTCTTTAATGTCATATGTGTGCAAATTATAAAGGCCTACATGAAATTCAAGTGAGTGCATTTACAGAAATATGAAGCCAAAATCAATGTGATTAAATTCTAAGGGATATATACAATTGAAATTCATCGCAGCTCAATGCTGCCAGGAATACCTGTATTGAGTAACACATTGTGAGTTATTCTTGTCCTCGAAGAAAGTGTGCTTATTGAGGTTCGTTCCATCTGACTGACAACTGTACATTGGATTGTTACGATTTGATATTTCTTTAGTGTTTCTTGTATCAAGAATGGGAATGCATAAGGGAAGGAAAAATACACAAGTCTATAAAAAAATTAAAATAGTCTTTGAAAAGGCGAAAGTGTTGTACCAGGTGGATTCGAACCCCCGACTTTAAAAAGAGAGTATCCAAGGTGTAAAAGTCAGCGCTTGTATCAACTGAGCTAGTCTGACTATAAGAATGTTTGGCATAAATTTAGAGAAGATTTTGAAAATCTGGTTTCCTTATTTTTTTGTAGGTTTTTTGTGAATTTCGACCCCAGGGCAGGGGTGCCCCTAAAAAACTCTTATCTTAAATTATTCATTACATCCTAACCTATCAAAATATTATAATTTTATTTAGGGGCAGGCCTGCCCTGATGGACTTCAAGGCCAAGTTTCATGCAAAAATCAACGCTTTAACGGACAAAATGGTGTTTCGGTCAACTTTGGAGGTTTATTGTTAAGTTGTAAATAATAAATTTTAGGTATAAAATACAAATTTAAAAAATTTAGACATATATACGGTAGAAAACAACAAATAAAGATTGATTTTTAAATGTCACTTTTTCCGGGAAATTGTTCTCTCCTATAGGTCAATTCCTTTGTTAAAGCGAATACATCCAAATTTGTGTCGATGAACCCTTGAGCTTGATTTGTTCGTTAATTTCACATTTAGAGAGACTGAGATACCTTTTCTTTTGCAACTTCACAGTCTATTATCTAGATTTGTTACTGCAATTTTTTATCACATGTATCAATGATTAAAAATTATAAAGTCGCAATCAGATTCGGAAAATGGTTTGCAGACAAGAAGACCCAAAAGACATATTTGAATTCACTCGTAAAATGAGATATAATGATCTTTTCACATTTGCGACATGTATTAAACTGATTGGCGCTTTAGCAATTTTATTAAATATGGTTGAAGTTTGATGATAAGGTCATTTATAACAAATAAAAAAACTATAGGCGGGTTTTATTGTAAAATATGTAAAAGTACAAAACATATTTGATAAAGATAATATGTTTTACAATTTATTCAGAAAATACGACATATTTTTTTTAGGAAAATTGACATTTTTTTGTACATATGAAGTTTTATATCTCTTATTGGATGCAAGGTATGTTCATGAACAATTGTGTTTCATCAATGCGTCGTCCTTCAAATTACAATAGTTTCAATATAGAATGTTAGTTAGGTTCTACAATTGTATTGTTCACAACGAATTATAATCATATTCAGTACTAGTGGGATAGTAAAAAATGAAGTACAGTATACATGTAGTTCATGTTTCGTGATTTGTTATGTTTGAATTATCCTCCCTAGCTTTCTTAAAATGTATTAAATAAATGCCACTTATTTCATTTTTATATGCATTATTTTTGGTGTTACTGAGTAATATGAGATCAGGTTTCTCCTAATTGAAAAAAAAGCCCTAAAACACCCTCCATCAAGACCCGAACATGAAAGATGAGGTAGGTAGTCCATCTTTCAGTCTGTGATTCTTAGTGGCGTTTGCCATCCACTCCAGTTGTTGTAACATTGGATCCACCTCCGAGTTTAACTTTTCATTGATAGGCTTCCCATCTTCATCAATAGCATCCTGAACAAACGGGATAGCGAGTACTCGGGATACACAGGGAGAGGCCAGCACTCCCATTATTGTCCTTAGTGACGTGGACGAGCAATACCCTCCATAGGGACCTAAATAAAGAAATGTGTGTGACATAAAATGCATTGATAAAGAAAACGTTTGTTTGATAATGATATGTTTTTATCTGACATTGCAGTGTCCGAACATCCATGAACACTCATAGTTTTAGATAAAAGTTGTTATCAGGCAACCGCTGTTGTTTATAATTTCAGATACTAGTAGTTTTTGTGTTTTTTGCTGTCCGTATGGGAAAAAAAGGGGGGGGGGTTCATAATATGCACAAGACCTATGATAAAAGTAATCATAATCGTATATTCACTTGTATATAAACATATAAACACGTATATAGAAATTTACGCTTCAAATACAAAGAAAAATGCTTTGTATATGATACATACCCATGGAATAACACACTAAACCACTAGGTTTGAAGCCATAAGATCCGTCGGGAAAGGTGTCTAGGAAATTCTTCAGAGAGGCAGGAATACTGTTGTTGTATTCGGCTGACACTATGACGAAGGCGTCCACATCCCGGATCTGTTTTTCGCAGTCTAGGAGGTTCTGTGGAGCCCCTGTACGCTTAGGTCCATAGAAATGGACTGGTTGTTTGACCATGGGGAAGTTCATTGCCAGAAGATCTTTAAAGTATAATACATGTATAATTTATAAAGAAAGGTCAATGGCACTGTTAATCAAATTTGTCAGCTAAGTTACTGTTGAATGTTCTTAACATAAATATTTTTCTTGAATATTTGTCCGTTTGTCCTGTTAAAGAAGATGGGCGATCTATGCGAGCAAACCGCCTGTACCTCGACAACCATAATAGTGAAAAATAAAGTTATGGTATGCTTTTTAATTAAACTTTAATTCTACATTTTTTTTTTTTTTTTTTTGATTTTTCGAATAGAATCATGGTAAATATGTACTAGAAGATTAATTTATGAAAAAAGACATAAAAGTATAATTGGACCTGGGATTTATATTCCGGAATTTAAAGGGGGGGGGGGTGGTTGAAGGGCGATCCCTGTCCACAAGTACCTGTGGAGTTTTAAACTTAATTTTATTTCAATTTTGAACTTTCATATTTCATTCATATATTTTAAAGGATGTTTCAAGAGCATTTTATAATAATTTTCATCAAAATAAATTAATTAACTTACAAATATTAGAGAAATAAATAAATAAAAATGAATATGTACTCATACTCAAATATATATATCAAATCTATTTATAGAAAAGTGTTTTTCTTACTTAAGGATATTTTTCTAGGTACAAGATATGTGAAAAAAATCAAGTTATTTTATTACCGCTTATTTGCAGCTTATACAATGCAATCGATGTGATTTCGTCTTTGGCTTTAAAAGATAGACCTGCTTTCACGTATAGATAATGCTTCACTGATTGACTGAAACCAACAACTTCAACAATGAAATCCTACAGTGCGATTAAACGGCTCAAAGAAGATTAAAGATTAAGGTACCTGTCCTCTTATGACCTTGAAATATTAATAATTACAGTACCTAGCCATAAGTGAGTCATAATTTTATTTTTCAATTATATATATTTCATGGAAAAATGCTTTTTTCTAAAAATATTATTCCATTGCTATTTGATGCTTTTTTCTATGACTAAACTAAAAACACCAAAAAATACAATTTTTTTTTATAGTTTCTTCACATTATTTAATAAAAATAATTTTATCTTTAAGCATAACAGTGAATCCACAGGTCAAGTGCAATGTCGCTTGATGCACATTGTATGTACTGTACATGTCCTTTTATACAGATCTAGAACAGCTGGAATGTTATTAGTTCACCTGAACTGAAAGCTCAAGCGAGCTTTTCTGATCACATTTTGTCTGTTGTCCGTCTGTCTGTAAACTGTTCACATTTTCGACTTCTTCTCAAGAACCACTGGGCCGATTTTTCCAAACTTGCAACAAAGCATCCTCGAGTGAAAGGGATTCAAGTTTGTTCAATGGCCACAATTGATGAACACTGTTTTACTTAGGAATATATAGGAATTTTTTTTCAAAGACAGCAAAGTCATGATTTGTCATATTTTAGTTGGACCGGGGGGATGTAAGTTCAAATGTAAAGGGCAATAAAGCAACAGTCAAAGAGATTTGCAAGCATCCTTAGTTAGTGTAGATTTTTAAAAGTTTGTTCAAATCATACCCCTCTCCCCAGGCCTTTGAGGATTCGTTGGGACCACTTTTTGGTTTAAACTTTTCAATAGTAAACTGATATCTGCTTTTTTCCTAGCGACAGTGCTAAGGTGAGCAATGTGGCCTTGGGACCTCTTGTTATTAATAGTGACACAAAGTATCTAAGGAACCAAATGCAATCACCTCCTTCTATACATGTATGTGCCTCTAACTCTTTATTACCTATGAGTTCCAACCCATGGTCTCCTATATATGTATGCAGTAATTATTGGGATATGAAAGAGAAACAACCAGTGTTTGGATGACCAAGGTCCAAACGTTTGTTTTATCAGCACCAAGGAAGTTGAAAAGTTTGATCAAATGAAATTTATATACAGTGCATCTGTAAAAAATGTACACAAACTTAAAATAATAGAAGTGGATGGATTGATTGATTGATTTATGTTGTTTAACGCTCCTCTCGAGAATTTTTCACGCACATGGAGGCGCCACCACTTGCCGATGGAGAGCTACAAAGTTTGTCCTATACTCGGCACTTCGGGCCATTGAGCAGAGAGGGATCTTTTTCGTGCCAGCACCTACTGCGACACGAGACCTCGATTTATACGGTCTCATCCGAAGGATCGGTGTCTCCACGTCCCTCAGTGGGATTCAAACCCTAACCAATGCGCCATGCGGGCGACCAATAGTACTGTATATCGATAATGAACTTTTATTGGGTGCAAATTTCTACTTTCTACGATATCCTTTTAAAGAATTCAAAGAATCTAAAACCGCACATTAAGACACATGGAATATGAACTTCAGTGTAATGGACAAATTCAATTTCGAAAGTTCAGGCTTTATTTGGAGACATTCGATAAAATATTTCTAATTCAATGAGTTTTTTTCGCATGGCAAATTCATTTAGTTTATGCTACCAATTGTTTAATTGTTTAAAAAATTGTAATCATTTATTTATATAGTAAAGATTAATAGTGGATCTTTATATTTACGATATATTGTAAATATTACTATGCACATGAAGTTAAAAGAAATCGATAGGAAGGTTTCTATATAGTGTTTATTGATAGGGGAAATTGGTTATATATGTTTTGCAGAAGCTTAACTACACGACATAAGAAAAAGGTGTTGTCTTCACACTTTTCAATAGGTCCATTATATAGTTCCGTGTTGTGCTTAAACACGTGTGAAAAACACTTATCAGCCACGTTTAATATATAGGGGGAAAAGTGAAATACATGTACAAGTAAAATGAACGTGTCAATTGATAATAACATGACCACGTGTTGTAAGAGGATTGCGTTTCACGTTTCAAAGAGATACGTGTAATAACATGGGAATATCAATTCGAAGATTTCACTTATTAAGGAGGCTGGTGGGGGGTGGGGGTGGGGGGGGTGATAACAAGTAAACCAACATATATAACTTAATTTTTTTTTAGATATGAAATCTTAAAATTTCAACTATCATTTGGCAAACAAAAATTTCATGGATTTCAGTTTTAAAATTTGAAATTTTTTGTATATCTTTAAATTATATTGAGTTCTTCTTCTAAAGGACATCATAATAGTATGAAAATGACCATAACCAACCAGCCCTCTTAAAAATATGTAAAATTTAAATGAAATTTAGTTCTTTTAATTTGTTTGTTTGTAACTTGATTTTACCGAATTATGTCTTTATACAATACAAATCGGCAGAGAAATTTTACATCATTCTATTGTAATAATTTACTATTTCTAGTTCCAAATCTTTCTTCAATTTGAATCCGTAAAATAAGAAGAAAATAGCACAAGTGAAGAATATTGGCATTGTATGGAACACAGGCACCATTCAAGATCGTTTCAAATATTTTTGATCATGGCTAAAAATGAACTTGGTGTACGTGTTTGTTATAGACAGCTTGCATCATCTCAATGTCAACGGTTTATGAATTCGAACTTCGTGTTGAGTTCCGAAATCACAAACCCTTGACATTGTGAGGATGGACAGCTTAAACTAGTTCCTGGGCATCCTTACCGTAAAATGTCACTTCGAAGTTTCTCTCCTCCAGCTTCTTCCTCACAAATTTGGCCACTTTTATTCCTTGCCTTCCATCACGGATACTCCCTAGAATCAGTAGTACCTTAAGTTTGCTGCCAATACTTGCCATTTTTAATGCACTCTGATATAACAACTTTCCTGAATCGTCTATTTCTAGTTCTATATAACCTCGTTTACACGAAAAGTTACGTTCAACACCTTAAACACTCTCAGTACATTTGCACCTAATCATAATGGTGCGATTAACATGGTACATATAAATACCGCGACATTGTTCCGAGGTGACCGCTAGACGCAACCCTCGTGTGAACTTTTGATATTGATCCACTCTCCTCCCCGAGTGTTAAGATTTTCTTTGTTTTGCAAGACAAATATACTTTCCAATGTAAATTCTGCTTTTTCTTAACGTAATTATCGAAAAAATTATTCACATCCACGGATGTAGCTGAGGGTTCAAAAACTCACATAGGCCCTTTTGAATTTTCAGAGTTACTAAATTTACATTATATAAATATTGCATGTAGTTGAGTGTAACATTGAAAATTTTCACCCCAAGAAAACCATTGTCAACCGAGGCGCAGCCGAGGTTGACAATGGTTTTCGAGGGGTGAAAATTTTCAATGTTACACTCAACTACATGCAATATCTATTATATTATACTGAATGTTTTATACAAATACATATAACAGTGAACCGTGCGCGCATAAATTCTGCGCAGTCACTATTTTTTGTAATACCACCCGTCGTCAAGCAGTGTTGACTGTTGCTACGCTGGAGGGCGTGGCTTCATTATTCAGCGGGTAGTAGCGTTTTTTAGCAAATGTTTCTCGACCAATCAGATTCAACTAATTTACATGAAAGTATAATATTATAGATTATGACACTTTAAAGAAATGCAGACCACTGGGAGAAATATTAAGCTATTTGCACAAAATAAGGTTTTGGGAAAAATTATATTTTTTTATCTGGGTCCGGTTTTCTTAAGAGTCTTACGTGATTGAAAAATCCTAGATCCCTGCATGATTCGAGAATTTTATAATTACACGATGAGTAAAATGTCGAAGTAAGGTCTGAAAATATTCTGTAGGCTATTATATCTACAAATTAGGAAGATCAAATTTTTCTGCATGCTGTTATTTTATTATCATAACTGATAAAATTGCGAGTCGAAGTGAGGATATCATACCTTATGTTTCTTACCGTAAGACAATGCAGTCATTAGAGAACTATTATTCTTTATACTCAAAAAATTAAACTGCAACACGCACTCCGCGCCCAAACGTAAGTTTTGCATTACTGACCCTTATTTGAACTCCTCGTTATACTTCCGATAAATCTTCTTATTGCAGTCTATTCACACCATTATATATGTATGTACTTGGAATTTATAAACGAATCAAACGGAATGAATGTACTTTATCAGGAATAAAGTGTCTGTACTCTATAACAAATATATAATAAACAGCAGTTTCCAACGTACATGCACATATGCATATGAATATATATATTCGAACAGAAAAAGAATTTAAACGAAATTAATGTTATACACCAACTATCTACATGTATGTACTGTACAAGACAGAAAACACACTACTGTATGAATGCCATCTCTGGCACATTTTATTGTGTATGTTGCAAACTCATTATAGATAAAATAAAATAAGCCAAAAAGAAGAGGGAGATAACGATTTTGAGATATCAGATAAAAAGCCTCTTTAAAGTCTTTTCCAAACAAATATTCTGACCTGATAATAAAGTCATAAAATACCCGTGTTGCAAAAAAGGATTTACACTATGTTCCGTAAAGA